GGCTGAGGAGGGGGCGAGGCCGCGGGATGGGGCGTTACGGGGGCCCTTGCGGAGGTGGCGTCACTCCTGTCTGGCAGCCGAGAGGTGAGGGGAGCGGTGCCCTCTGGGGAGGGCTCCCGGTGCCCGGCGGTACCCTCAGCTGTGACTAGCGGGGCCTAGTCCTGTGCCTCACCCAGGACGGGAGAAGCATGAGGGGCTGACACTGGGAAGAACTGGAGATGGTGCAGCCTGCCCCCGAGGCAGTGGGCCAGCAGCCTGGGTTAGCAGGCCTTTGGAGCCAGGTTCTGGGTTACCAGTGTCTTAAAAGGTGCTGCTGATGCTCCAGCCCGTAGAACACTGCAGGGAGTATAAAGGATAGCTTTGCTCAGTCTTCTGTGTTTTCAACAGCTGGACATCTCCATTGTGGAGAAGGGAGGTCAGTGAATACAGGGATTAAAGAGTTGGGCATCCTAGGAGAAAAACCTTAAGTTGCAATCGCTGATCAGGATGTCCCCTGGTCTGACCTTAAGCGTTTCTGTGGAAACATGGATGACAGAATTACGGACCAAGAAACACTGTGACTGCCAAATAAACTTGCGTGTGAGCAAGCACGCTAAAATACCTGTCACTCTCCCCTTTCACGTAAATAACCATCACACAGGTCAGAGCACACTGTCTGATAATGGATAAAACTGCTTTACAACATAAATTACCCCTAGCAATTTGGGAAGCTGAACTCAGTGTTGCTATAGATGACTAATGAAAATCTCTGCTCCGCTTCCTGCTGTGGCTCCTGACATTAAGTACTGCAATGTTCTCATTAACTGCAGTACTGACAGCATCGTTTGTGGGGGGAAAAAATGTTAGGTGTCTTGAGAAAGCTAGAAAGATTTGCCAAGGAACAGCAAGAAAAAGATTTCAAGTTCTTTGTGTCTTCATTTCTAAGGTAAAAGGAGTTCACGAACCAACAAGCAGGTGGTGCCTCATGGAAAGAAAGTAGGAGAGTAAGAGAACGTGTGTGAAGCTACCACAACATGCAATTACTTTTTTACATTTCTGTGAGAAAACTAACTAACGCAGATTTGTGTTTCTGGTTTTGAGGCAGTGGTGAGACACTGCGCCAGATGGATCACAGCTCTCAGCCAGTGTGGCCATGTGTGTGCTTTTAACAGCCCAGATGAGGCCATCTGTAATCTAGAGGAGTGATTCCCAGTTGGTGAGGTCTAAAATTGGGCTTTAGTGAATAAAATATCCACATTAATCAGTTTAGACACATGCAGAGGCTGCTGGAGCTGGAAATGGTGATCATGAATGAGTAAAGGGCATTGCTGTAGCTGGGAAGAGGAGTGGTTCCCTGGTCCTTCCTCTCCTGCGTTTATCAGTGCTTGCGATCCAAAGTAGGCCCTGATGACAGCAGTTCAGTGCAGGATGCAGTGGCAGGCAGCGCCTGGGCGTTTTGAAAGGCATCAGAAGGCAGCAGCATCGAGAGTGGAGAGATGAGGAGATGAAGGAAGTCACAGAGAAGGAAAACGCAGTTAGCCATTGTAGAAAAGTTGAAAATCACTGCTCTACAGGAACAATTTTCTATGACCTTTTTGGTTTGCTTCAGTCAGAACAAGAGAGGAAAAATTCTTTGGCTTTTAGAACATGTTGCAGATGTTAAGCCAATGTTTTGCCTGTGTCTTGCTGAAGGGGTCTTGCCTTATGGGGGGTTTTTGAGTGTGTAGAGAGGTGATCATGCTTTATACGTATTAAAGAGAACCAACAGGATTCTTGATCAATAACTGATGCTATTTCTTCACTTCTTAGGTATTCAGATTGTTACAAAAGGATGCAGAGCAGGAGTCCCAAATGAGAGCAGAAATTCAGAACATGAAGCAAGAACTCTCAACCATTAGTATGATGGATGAGTTTGCGAGATACGCCCGCCTGGAGAGGAAGATTAACAAAATGACAGACAAGCTCAAAACTCATGGTAGAGTGCAATGTTTACTCCCTTGTCTAGTTTCAGAAAGACGTTTTTCCAACCGTGTTTTCAATATTAGTATGTTTCTCCAACTTTTCTCCGCCCCTCTTAATCCATTTCCAGGGTTTGTTTGCCCCTCCCTCCCTTTTTCAGCAGCCCTTGCGATAAAGCTGCAGTGCTTTTACACCAGCACAACCCACTGTCTTGGGGTAGAAAGTACAGGTAAACTTCTGGCACCTGAGCTTTTGCTCTTGTCTCTGCCCAAACTCACTAACTGGTCCTAACAGGACGGGAGAGTGACTGGCTTTGTCTGCCTTTGCTGTGCAGGGTGGAGGGATGTCCGTGATTGGAGAACAGGATGTCTTCAAGGCCAGGCTGGATGAGGCTTGGAGCAGCCTGGTCTAGTGGAAGGTGTCCCTGCCCATGGCAGGGGGGTTGGAACTCGATGGTCTTTAAGGTCCCTTCCAACCCAAACCGTTCTGTGATTCTATGATTCTATTCACAACTGGCAGCTTTGGATGGCTTTCAGTAGCAGTGGTATTAACCTGGTAATCTCAATTAAACTAGATTTAAGTAGTTAACTGAGGAACCAGTGGTGATGATGTAGAAAACTTCAGGTCGCCGTTATGTTTGAAGATGTGCTGTCTTCACTGGGCTGCTTCATATTGGACTGAGAAAGTGTAACAGGAGAACCACAGGCATGATTAAGTTCTAATACTGAACCAGAGCAAGACTCGTTCAGTGAAGGAATTGTCTTGACTGTGTTTCTGAGTGAAATGAAGCAACAAGTGCATCTACTAAAGCGTCGTTCTCCCTGTCAGGGAAAGGGACAAATTTGCTTTGTGCTTCATCTAAAGCAGATTCTTAAATGAGTAGTCACAGTGACTGTTCTCATTTGGGAACAGTGTTCCCGATCACGCGTGGCGTTTCCCTGTCTAGGATATCAGCGTTTTGCAACTCTTCATAGTAGCGTTAATAAGACAGTGTGGTGTGGTAGGGAGCGAGCGCTTGCTTGCAGAAGGGTACTTGCAATATAGCTGTGAGTCACTTGAAAAGGGATTTTTAAACAGTGTAATGTCCTGATCTGAAGAATGAAATATTAATAAATTACTAGTTTTATGTAAGCATAATTCACTTATAAATAATGCAGAGTAATACTTTTCTTTCAACAGTGAAAGCACGAACTGCCCAATTAGCCAAAATAAAGTGGGTTATAAATATTGTATTCTACATCTTACAAGTAAGTAAATATTTTATTATGAATACAAATTACTAAACCAAATCCTCGGTAGTGTTAGAACGCCCTCCTGCATTTATTAGCCGACAATTAGTCACAGGGGTGTTCGGCCTTCCAGTGGCGCAGTGCATGCCAAACGGAAAGAGTTTCTTGAAACAGAAGGGAGAGGTGTTGCCGATAAGGTCTGGTGGTTGTGGATGGAAGGGGTTTTGAGTTTCATTTTAGCTCTGTTTCTGGTTTTGAGATGAGAAGACAGGAGTTTGTCTTAGCTCTTAAATCACTGTTTTGGGGGTCCAGTGCCGTGGCACTGGACCCAGGAGAGTTCCAATACAAGCAAATATATTTTACCTAAGTTTTTGAAAGCAAAATGTGCGTTTGCTGAGGATGCAGATCTCCACTTACGGCTGCCACACGTTTCCCCACGGTGCCTCATCAGATCATCTCTGTAGTTCAGATCCGATGCCAAAGAATTGTCTGCTAATAAGAACGATGGTGGTCAGCCCGAAGATGTCCTTAGGGCAGTGGTAAAGCTAGTGGGATGTGTGGCGGGCAAGGATTATGGCTGGAAACAGTCACCAGAATTTAACCATTACTGTGTTTTTCTGTGCCAGATTGGAACCAGGGCCTCAAAAGAAAGCAGCGTTTTCCAGCATCTCACTGCTGCCTCTTAACATTATGTATAAACTTAAGGTCACGCTGAGTTTAAAAATATTTTGAACTTGCATGAGAACGATGTGACATATCAAAGAATCTATCCTCTTTAGTCAGAAGTTGTTCTTTACTGTTTCAAAATAGCGGTGGAAACGTACTATTATGTGTATTATTATCCAGGCTAATAAAAATTTTAATTCTAGGCTGCCTTGATGATCTCTCTGATTTGGAAGTACTATTCGGAGCCGGTTACAGTGCTTCCAAGCAAGTGGCTTGCTCCACTGGAGCGCTTGGTAGCCTTTCCCACGGGGGTAGCAGGTAAGGACCGCACAGGGGGAAAAATGCATTTCCCAAGCCCACGCGGATGCTACCACCGTAGCGACGGAGAGCATACCTAGATTGAAACCACTGCTTCTGCACGGTTCTTCTAGCTCCCTTAACACAGGGCAGAGTTTCAAACATTTCATTAGCCGTTCCCTGTGTATTCCATTCCCATTTATTTACCTGACGGTGAAATGGGCTGTTTGTAATTTTTATTTCTTCTCAATCAGAGCAGGTTTATCTATATAGAATAGACTCTAGAGATTTCCAATCAGAAATATTTTTATATTGAGGAGTCCACTGCAAGAGTAGAATTGGGTTTAAAAATGGGCAAATACTTCACAGTTCTATATTGCTTACTTGTGTTTCTTATAAACTGCTGGGGTTTCACAGATCATACATGTATTCATATATCCATCCATCCCTGGAAGTGTTCAAGGCCAGGCTGGATGAGGCTTTGAGCAACCTGGTCTAGTGGAAGGTGTCCCTGCCCACGGCAGGGGGGTTGGAACTGGATGCTCTTTAAGGTCCTTTCCAACCCAAACCGTTCTTTGGTTCTGTACTATGCAGCATGAGTCCATGTAGTCTGCAGTATGGATGTGCTGTGTTTTCCAGTCAGGGCACATTCTCCAGTCCATCATACCAATACAGATTTCTGTGCTGCTGGTTAGAACGACGGGGCCATTTAACGCAGCAGTGCCGGGTGTCTGGGTCAGTAGAGAAGGTCTGTGTAGCCTTTTTCTGTGTAGCTGTACGGGGAGTGAGGGGAAAGAAGTATGAATTTAATACTTTTTAAAAGACCAATTTAAATTTAGGAGGAAATTTACCTTTTTACCACTCAGATCTTGAATTTAGGTTCTAGCAAAGTATTCTGTTACTTGCCAAGCCTTTAACTTCAGCACCTTAACCGTTTTCCGTTAGGCACAGAGCAAGTGTTTGTAGCTGTGGGTTGGATATACCACACTTTGTCTCATGCTCATGTGACTTGGTACGCTTTTTTTCCCCACACAGTCTTCAGGTTTTCTCAGGCCCAGCAAGGCATTAGCTGCCACCTATGAAGAGAGACATTTGTATAGAAAAAGAAAGATGTTTTGTTCCTGTTCCTGTCATGACTCCAAAGTTTCATTTTTTATACTTCCAGAGTTGTTCTCAGACGCTTGCTTCAGGGTTATTGATGCAGTGATCCAAATCACGCTTCTTATCTCTTTCAGGTGGTGTGGGAATCACCTGTTGGCTTGTGGTTTGCAATAAAGTCGTAGCTATCGTGCTGCACCCTTTCAGCTGAAGGAATCCCACAAATCCATGGAGTCCTCAACTACATTTTCATTATCACCGTTTTAAGTTAATAATTAAAAAAAGGGAACCATTGTCTTTCATGAGACCAGGTCTGAGATAATCTTTCTTACTTCATTTGGGTATCAGTCAGCATTCCTTTTGATTTATTTTATCTTTTCTCAGGTTGCTTTTCAATTTACTGTTCAGTTTTCAAATATAGACCCTCATTTTGTGTCTGTTTCGACAAGTGTGAACACTTATTCATGGCAGAATCCTAAGACTTTGTCAAGGCACATTCACCAAAATCTAAAAAGCATTGGATTTGTATTTCTGAGTTGGAAATGCACTGGCATGAAGGATTAATTTTTGGAGCTTTGCTGTTTTTTTGCCATATAGCGTGGCAGTTTCACACAAAGGTGGTGGGATCATCTGTGGAGACAAGTGGTACTGAAGTGGTACTGGAGGATAAGAGGTAGGTGGTTGGTTGGCTTAGCATAAAACAGAATTAGTTTCCTCCTTGTTACGTTTTTACACCGGGATTGCTGGATTTTTGGGCTGTCTTAGAAAATGCATTCTTGACATACATAGGCAGAATCAACCTTTGATCTCTCAAGAAACTCAGTTGCCAGATACAGGACAGCTGGCTCCTCTGTCCTCCCTGACTTAAAATTCACTGAACAGTGGAATTTTTTCCTACTGTTTTTGATAACTGACCTTTCCTTCTTGACACCCTCTTCTGCTTCCCATACTGGGTGAGGATCACTAGAACGATTTCCTCAAGTTGCCCAGGAATTTCCAAACGATTTTGGGAGGAAGGCTCTGGCCAACCTTCCAAAGCTCCATGTTAAGAAGCAGAAGACGGCGCTGTTCCTTCAGAGGACGGTGTTTCTGAGGGCTTTGGCACGAGCGACAGCCCAGGGCAGCCCCGCGCAGCTGTGCAAGTGTAAAAAGGCAAATTAGTGATTTAAATGTCTAAAGCAGTAACAGAGTGGTAGCGAGGAGGAGGGAAAACAGTTTTCTGGTTTGGAGTAATCCTTCTTGCTGTATTTGGGTACAGGAAACAGCCGCAATACTCTGAATGTAACGGAGGTCAGAATCCTTCCCAATGCTGTGCCTGTAGAACGCGACAGAGCTGCGTTATCTGCCGTGCTGCAGCGATCCGCTGCCCCACCATTGCTGCCCAATGAGCCACACAGCTGGTTTATGAAGTTCTTGTTCCACATATCCTTTTTTTTTTTTTTGACTGAGCCTGAAGACAGCTCCAGGGGACATTTTCCCCTCCTGTGAGGGGCTTTGGCGATTCCGGTTCTGCTTCTGAATGCTGTTATTCCAGGTCCTTTGCCTTCCTGCAGGGAGGGGCTAGGCCCCCTCCATAATGAGCGTGGCATTTAGAGATCAGTTCAAAAGGTCATGATCCGTGGTGTATGTGTGTATATATCTATCTGCATGAAATGTTTTTTTTTTAAATGTTAATTTTAAAAGAATTGTTTTTTCTGTTAGGTATTAGGTTTAGTCAAGACGGAAATAGATGCATTAAGTATCATCGAGGAAAAAAAGTGGTGTGATAGAATGTTATTATAATTGTGTTTTTGTTAATAAAGCTTTTCAACCCATCTCAAGTTTTCTAATCCATTTTTCAATGTTAATTACAGTTTTCCTAAAAGAAACCCCAAACCAACAACATGCCCCACCCCCCAGGTTCTTGCATAAGGTGGTACTGTTGGAATCAACAGGCCTAATTATTTTTTTAAGTCTTCAGGACAGATTATTTAACTGTGACATTGACATATTTCTGAGTCTGAAGATGTGGCTAATGATGTTTCTGCTTAGCGTGTTTCGGAGTTCAGCACAGCGAAGCCAAGAAAAGCAGCATTGTGCACAGTCTTCACAAAGGCACTCGCTGTTTATCCACACGTACCATGGGGCCATCGCATCGGTGGTTTGTTGGCTGCTCCGGTCAAACGTTGGGGTGAGTAAAGGCAAACGGGCCCCTCCGTTAACATCTGACTGCACAGTTGTGCTTCTTGGACACGTGTCCACTGTACAGCTTCAGCACTACTTCAAGAAAAACCTTCAGAATTTTGGAAAGAGACGCTACAAGTGGGTTCAGATGTAAATGTCTTAAACACCTTTTGCAGTGTAATTTTTTGAAGTTTTTTTGGAAGAGCTTTCTTTAAATATTTATAGAATAGGCATAGTTTTCCTTAATTTCACATTTTAGTGAACGTGTCATGAATTACTGCGAGGAACAAAACACAGTTCTCCTACCTTTGCTTACATAACCTTAAACACGGGATTTTTAAAGGCGTTTTGAGAACTGGATATGCCTGACTTCTCCAAAACAATAGTTTACTCTTGCACATTCATCTTTGGATGTCAGCTGTGGAAGTTACCAGGCAAACTGCTTTGGTAAGTTCTAACAGTGGAAAAGAATGAAGCTTCAGATCTTTATAATGCTAGTGAAAACAATGTAATAGCAAATTATTTTTATTATGTGGGAATCCTGGAAGTGATTTCAGGAGTGAAGAAAATAAAAAATTCTTCTATTGCATTGTTGGTGCTAACCCAATAACGAACCTTATGAAAGCAGATCACGGGCTGCAGCTGGCTAACAAGTATCAGCTTCAAAATTTAGCCTGCAGAGACAATGCAGAAAACTGGGAATGTTAACACCAGGACTAACCTAGACACCTGATAACAGGTAAAAATGTCATGATTGTTAAGGCACTCAGTCTTACCAAGATGCACATGCAGGCACAGGTGTGCACACGGGCCGAGAACAGAAGGGTGATCTTTTGTGACAACTGATTTCACTGTTATTTTGGAAAAATCACTGAAAGAAATTCTCAGTACGTGTAAGGTTTAATATGCACTTAATGAAGGTAAAAACATTGGGTTTTTTTTTAAAAAGGAAAGTTTTAAATGATCCATATGTCTAAAGATAAGTCAACGTATTTAATACCAAATGAAATAGTTTGTGTATTCTCGTGAGGCTGTTCATAATGACTTCCGTAGTGTCAGGTGCTTTCCATTATCAACTAGCAGCGGTGGTTTGACATCTGGCTTGTGTAAGCCTGCACCCTTTCACTTCTCTTTCTTCATTCCTCTCCTGTTAGAACTTGAATGGCTGTCTCTGCAAAGACAGCCTGGGCCAAAGAGTTCTTTCATAAGACTTCTGCCTTTCAGCAAGTGTCACATGAGCGCATCCTTCCGCTTCAGCGGGGCTGTCCTTCTGCCTTGCTGCCGTAACTTTACCAAAACATGGTTCGTGTAGCCCAGAGGAATTTCTCACTTTAGATTCCGCTGCTCCTCTGCCGCCCTGACCTGTGTGTCTGTGGGCGGGCAGGTGGCCTGCCTGTGCCTTCGTACCTGATGTGAGAAGCTCGTGATGCAAATTCTCTGTGGTTTCTGAGAATATGGGGTTTTTTTCCAGCCTAATGGGTGTTTTGTTTCTTGTACCTGGAATTACGCACTTATTCCCTGCCTTCTCCCTGTTACTGAGCTGTTCATCTGGCTTTTTTTCTTCTTTTTTGTGTTCTTCCGCTGCATCTTCCTCTTGACTGTTCTCTTTCACACTGTCACTTAGAGGAGTTTGTTCCATTTTCATCCGTCTTTTCAGCTCCTGTTTAAGCAAATCCGCGTCTCTTTCTTCTTTCATAAATTCCAAACACGTGTATTCTTCCGTCAGTAGTCTGCCCTCCCTTAAATACTATAAAATGAAGTACTGTAGTGTTTAGGAATGTTCTTAATTTGCCTAGGAACGTGGAATCATGAAGCGTTAATGAGAGCAAGTTTCACTACTCTTATTTCGGTGCTGACATCGTTATTATCGATGGGTTATGACAGTGCTGTTTACTAGTAAGTGTAACAGGATGGGGCAAGATTTAAACAAGATCATGGTGCCACTGAATCCACGTAAACATCTTTATTTTTACCTTTTTCATTATATTTAATTTTATTACATGAATTAGTATGCAGATATATGAAGCGTTAATGAGAGCAAGTTTCACTTCCCTTATTTCAGTGCTGACATAGTTATTATCGATGGGTTATGACAGTGCTGTTTACTAGTAAGTGTAACAGGATGGGGCAAGATTTAAGCAAGATCATGGTGCCACTGAATCTATGTAAACGTCTTTATTTTTACCTTTTTAATTATATTTATTACATGAATTAGTACGCAGATATAATCAGGAATGGCTAAATATAGGGCCAGAAAAGTCACGTGCAATGTGACTGAGAAACCCCATGAGATCTGAACTCGTAAATTTCTTGCTTTTGTATGGAATTTAAATATACATATGATTTTCTTTCTCTTAGTTTACAACACAGTTACTTGTTGCGTGGAGCAGAACGTACTGCAACTCTCTAGCCGATGAGTGAGTCGGCTCCACTTTTTAGTAGAAAAAGCTATGTGTATGGGGAATGCCTGCAGTAAATACACTTGTCTGCTGCAGGGGACAAACTGCAGTACATGCCGTGCTTTGGAGAGTCTCAGAGTCCCTCCAAGATGAGATAGAATCCAAGCTTAAAGGAGAAACATGAAGGTGCAGTAACTAAAGTAGCTAAGTAAGGCTTCAGTAAGTAGGTCTAATATTGGCAGTGGGAGAAAGCTGGAGGAGAGTGTGGCAAACAGGGAGGAGAGAGATTCACGGGCAGGATCGGGAGCCCTGTTTTCTGTCAACTTTGAAATGGAATTTCAAAGACAAATCGTGACTTTGGGTATCTGGTGGGGTCTGGGAAAGGCTGCGGGCTGAAAAGGCGGAGCACAAAACCCAGGAGTTAACGCATTCCAGAATGGTAGCTCTGTTAGTGATCTGGGAAGTGACCTCAACAACCCGCTTCACCTCTCTGAACGTGTGACCTTTAGGTCACTAATGTCTCCTACAGTTTCTGAAGTATTTGGCATTCGGATCTCAGTTCTTTCTACAAGCCTTGATGTAATGAAAATAACATGACTCTTTTCTAGAAAGAAAAACTCTAAGTAGTAGATGGACTGGCTCCTTCTTTCTTCCATTCTATATATAATTATTTCTTCTAAATAAAGGTGTTTATAGATGAGTCCCTCACATACAACTTCTCTGTGAGAACACAGTCAATGGCTAAGATTTATTATATAGATTTATATTATATATAGATACTATATAATAGATTTATAAAATCTATTTACAGTGATCATCGTAATGAGGAGATACTCACAGCCCTTGAAGAAGCCTTTTTCCTTTCTCAGCAGCAGATCCTGAGCCAGAAATACACGTTGACATCAGCCGTGATGTAGCATCACAACCAAAGATGTGAGATCAGTACTGGATTAGTGTGGAATTAACGAAGTGTTAACTAAAGTATACTTTTACAGCCAAAGCACCGACCTTTACCAACATAAGAGGGACTGCTTCTTGAGGCACAGCAGTACCAAGGGGCCTTATGCTGCCGAGCTGCTCTGCTCCTGCAGTGTTGCTCAGTGCAGCGCCACCCAGCAGCTGGATTTCAGTGACTCCTGCTACATCACTCTGCTGAGCTAGTTCCTGTCAGTCAGGGGCCAGCTGACGGCTGTCAGGCCCGTGTAAATTACCAACGCCATTGGCTCATTCAACTTTCAAAAAGATCAAATGAGTTTCTGAGACAAATGTGAAACTCCACCTCTACGTGTTCTATTAAAAGTTTCTGGCTTTGGTATTTTCTTGGTTGATTGCTCTTCTGTTCTACATTGGGCATCTGTGTCCACTTCATTTGCTTTAGCTGTTTGATTGCTATCTTCTGAAGACTTGTTCTCCTGTAATTGGCAATTAAAGGTAAAAATAATGAGGGAATACTTGTTCAGTGACTTTTAAAAGTACACAGTCAGTGCAATACTTACAGAAAGATCAGTAATTTCTACTGCTATTACATTCTTACTGTGTTTCACAATGTCTGTCCTACATATTTTCTGTAATAACATTCACACAAAATCCACATCCTAGGAAGTTAAGATGGCAGATCAGGCTATTCAGGCATATTACTGAAATTTACAGAATGACATGCAGCTTATTTGAGAGGGATTGGACCCAGATCTTTCATACCTTCGTTAGCTGAATCGGACTTTTTTCTGTTTCCTGAGTTTGGTACTGTGACAGCAGCAGTGATCTAAAACTCTGTTTATCTACTTGTACTGATCTATTTATACTAAGACCTGTGGAAAAAGGACAATTGTTAGTAATACAGTAGTTTCTGGAATTACATTGTTGGTATAAACAAAAGGTATCTTTGATGACTGATAATACTGGTATGTGGCCTAGGATTTAAACGGGGCTTTATTGCTGCATGTCTTAATGCCCTTGAATAAAGAAATTCTTTGTTCTGTCTGATCTACAAATGCTGAAACTGGAACACAAACAGAGCTACCTGGACTTTTGAGCGTTTTCATCTGTACATCATAAATATACTTAAGTTTTAGATCTACCAAGTTCTGTTCAGCTAGAACATGCCAAATCAGACAAATGTGCCTATACCCTAGAGCCCATATGGGCTTAATTTGTGTGGTAACATTCTAATGTAGATTTAAGAGGTCTGGGATGAGGCCTCAGCTTTCAGGCTGCTAAATTTGGATCTGACAGTGTAATAAACATGCTTGCTTTTATGACATCTGACTTGGTTACTCACCTTACTTAAAGTTAAGCACTTTTGTAAGGCTTTATGGAGCCAAAGTCTCCAGAGGAAACGCTTAAGTCTGTCTGAAGTATCATCTGTGGTCTTTGAAAAGAGATTCCGAGGGAGTGATTGAGTGAGACATTGAAAGAAATAGCTGAATGGAGGTGGGCTGGGATGGGGAAGGCGAGTGTATTGCTCTGTTATTGTATTTTTAGAATCATTTTGACATGAGTGCAGTAGCTGAGAAAGTCGCTAGCCCAGCAGCGAAAACGTGATCTTACTTCCGTCAACATTCACCCTTATCCCCAGTTTTCATCTCCGAAACCAGAGGAAGACTCTCCATAAAAATGGTAATGTTCAGATGTTTGCAGTTTGGTGGCAAAAAAGGATGTTGATAACCAATTTGAGGATTACTCATGAAGGAATGGCTCTGATGATGTGGAGGGGATTAGTTTTCCCTTTTGAAAGGCAACCAAGAAGCTGTTGCTCAGCGTTTTTTTCAGCGTTCCTGAGATTCAGAACTAGGGGGAGCTGTACCCATAGGGGAGCTGGTGCCACCTTCCCTCAGCCCAGCAAACTGCTCTTGTGAACAGCTTATGAATCACTAGCTTCATTCGATAAATCAATTCTATTTACGTACATAGAGCTTTCTGATAACCTAGGCAAGCCTTCCTTCGGCTATTTATCAGGAGTGTTAAAAAATGCAGTCCCGTATTTCTTATTTTCTTGCCCTCTCGGTAAAAATTTTTGCAAATGCAGAACAGAAAATAGCTATTTGAAGAAGGAGCTCTTTCCAAGTCTGTTACAGGAAAATTCAAGTCAGTAGTGAAAAGGAAAAACAATTGTCAGTAATCCCAGTCCTAGATTTCTAAATCATCTTTCCATCAACTGGCAGAGAATGAAACCTTTATTGGCCAAAAATATCAAAAGATCAGGCAGCTTTGCTTGCAAACTTTTCGTTACAAAGTATCAGGTCTCTCTCCAGCTAAGCTCCCTTATCTTGCTTAAAGAAAAGAAGAACTTAAATAGTCAAGAGTGATTTAAGGACTGTCATTTAAATAATAATGTACAAGTGAGGAAAATTAAAAAACCCACAGCTGGTTATGTGATGTAACGAAAACTGGAATGCAGAGCTTCCTAAAAAACCATGTCTGACTTGGAATGAGAAGTAGGAATTGGTGTTTTTTAATTTTACAGCTTGAATAACCAACCTTTTCACCACAGTTCACTTTTAGTTAAGGCAAAGTAGTGGATTTCCACAGGCAGCAAAGAGGAAAGAAATAAGGAACCATAAGGCTTTGTACTGATGCCACAATTCAAAGAATTCTGTGGGCATCTGCAATATTCCCAGCAGATATGTTTGCTACCATGTAAACTTTAAGTGCTTTTCTGTACTTCCCAGCAGATATGTTTGCTACCATTTTCTGTATCCAGAGGAAGAAAGTTCCAACTCCTCCTTCAGTTTAGGAGCAGGAATAAATATCTGAGGCACTCAACCCAGGCAGGTCAGTGTTCTGATCATCATCTAAAATTAAGGGTGCAAGTTTGTTGAGCAGAAAGGTCTCCTTTAGGATACTGACAGAACCTTTATGATCCACAGTGGGAGGCAAAATACTGCTTTCAGTGTGGGGAAAGCACTTGATATCTGTTTATTAGTTTCTGTGTAAAACACATTTATTAGTAAATTCTAGATACTACTTCTAAAGCATATGACAATGAGAAATTTGCAAGTGCTTCAAGAAAACTCTCTTATTCAACATTTTTGTCCCGGATGAATGTAGTGAGCATATGGGCAACATAACAATTCTTGTATGATTTGTAATTGTTTTTAGGTGTTGCTCCCTCAGTTCAAGGGGAGGGATCCACTTGTCTGAACACAGGCGCCTCGTGCTATCTGAGATGCCCTTGAGTATGCACGGTATCCGCACAAGGCTGGCTGACATTACACGAGGCCAATGGGACACCCGTGTCCTTCTGGAACAACTACAAGACCAGGCAGAATGTGCTGGGACATCTCAAATGGCACTGGATGCCTGTAATTAGGCAGTTGAATCCCACACAAGGTAGCTGCTCTCGGAACGTTTGACAGACAAGTTAGCATATAGAATCATAGAATTTTTTAGGCTGGAAAAGACCTTTAAGATCATCAAGTCCCACCCTTACCCTAACACTGCTAATGCCACCACTAAAACATGTCCCTAAGCGCCTCATCCACACTTAAATCCCTCCAGGGGTGGTGGCCCAACCACCTCCCTGGACAGCCCGTTCACTGCCTGACAACCCTTTTAGTGAAGAATTTTTTCCTGATACCCAAAAGCAACTACCTTGTGTGGGATTCAACTGCCTCATTATAGGCAGAGATACTTCTCTCCAGTACCTGCCTGAGCATCCATGTGAAAGAAATATTCTTTACTAAAGAGCTGTTTCTTCCTTGATAGCATTAACTTTCTATTGTTCTTTCCTATCATTCTACTGTATTATTCTAAGTAACATCAATTCTGTGGATAGATCAATTGAGAAGATATACAAAGTTGGGTTATTACAATCTCTGGTTGCCCATTTAAATTTACTTACGCTAAAAAACAAAGTACTATGGAGGATAAACATTCTCTTTTCTCGGGTAATCTGACAGTATGATCACAGACTGGCCTTTAAACTTCCTAAACCTTGCGTCTGAAAACTCCTCCTCTCCTTTCATCCCAAAAACATGCAAGCTGTAGGAGCTTCGGTAATGGACCTTGAAAAAAGGGTGACAAAGCTGGTGAAGGGTCTGGAAAACAAGTCTTATGAAGAGCGGCTGAGGGAACTGGGGTTGTTCTGCCTGGAGAAGAGGAGGCTGAGTGGAGACCTTATCGCTCTCTACAGCTACCGGAAAGGAGGTGAGATACTAGGAAATACTTCTTCACTGAAAGAATGGTCAGGCATTGGAACAGGCTGCCCAGGGAAGTGGTGGAGTCACCATCCCTGGAGGGGTTCAAGGAACGTGTAGAGATTGTGCTTGAGGACATGGTCTAGTGGATATTGTAGTGTTGGGTTGGTGGTTGGACTGGATCATCTTAGAGGTCTTTTCCAACCTCAGTGATTCTGTGAACATCTCTGCTATCATTTCCAAGTTAGAGGGTCCAAGGATGAGAAAACAGTTTTTAAAGAACCAATTAAATTCATTATTTTTGCTCCTATAAGAGCACTTGGAAAGTCTGCACTGAAAATAGGAACCTGCTACAGGAGGGTCGTTTGTGAGGTGCTGTGGGTTAGTGAGCCAGGTTGTGGCAATTGCAGGTCTAGCGTGGCCACTTCTCCAGGACACGTCGGAGGGAACAGCCTGAACAAAAATTAGTCTGCAAGAGCTTTGTGGACCGATAGCTTCACCTTGTTAAAAAACAAATGGGCAAACAGCTCTTGATGCAAATAGACACTTAAAATAGCAGCACTACTACTTCAGTGTCACTGTTAGTATACTAAAACTATGTATGCTAAGCACTGTTCATGTTGAAAATTGGGTTAAATATTAAAAACGGGTTGTCTATTTGTATTCAAAAAATAAAGGAGCAAAATACCAAGCACTTCTCTTTAAATTACATGTGACAGAATATTTTTATCCCGTATAAAGTACTATATTGGCTTTCATTTTGGAATATATGCCCCAGTTACGAAACAATGTAAGTTTTGCATAACTAAACAAGAAAGGAAAAGGAATATACACGTACTTTTTTCATGAGGTACCAGACCACTTTTGTCTTTTGGGATTCGAGGCATCCGATTTGCATAGATATTTTTTACATAAAGTTGCTGATCCTTTTCCTAAGCAGAAATAAACACTATTAAACTTGTAGTATGCATTAAGAATTACTTTTTACCAACTTAATTTTCCCACATTGGGAAAAACTGTCAGTGATTCTGCTTTGTGCCAGGCCGTGTGGTGACTTTGTCATTTACATAAATAGGAATCCGTCATTTTCTTTCATGAGCCAAATCAAATTTCTCCCTTCTTAAGGCTAAGAACACATCTGTACACCTACATGATCTTTTTCACAACACTGCGCTCCGAAGATGAAATTTTCTCTCATGATTTTTTCATCTGCTGTTCTGAGGGTTTTTTTTTTTCAGTCTAATTTTTTGCTCTACTTCCTTTTTTAAAAATATTTATTTACTCAGTGCCTTTGGATGCAATGTGCTCAGTTCTGTTTCACAGGCTATTTGCTTGGGAGATGACATCAACTTCAGACTTTTAAATTTTTTTTTGCAAAAGTCCCCCTTCCTTACTGAAATCTATCTTAAAGGCAGAAGAGAGATTTCAGTGACACTCTCACCTTCGCAGTTTTTAGTGTGAAAAATAGGAGCTGCATTTACTTTGGAAACAGCAATTGTCCTGAAAGTGAGGCTGAATATCTTGGATAGTCTGAATAAGCCCAAAACTATGAATTGGTAAGAATAAACTCTGTTGTGGCACAGAATAAGGTTAATAAGCATGCCTGGTGTTCTTGGTGGTAATAGAGTAGATTTTGTGAATCTAAGTATGACATGTATACAACGATATAACTGGGCACAGATAGAAAACTGTGGGAAACACATGAAATGGAAATACTTTAGAGAAGCGTGAAGGTGAGAAACATACTTCAGAAGAATTTGCATTTTGGAACAATTTTACAGCCTGCCTGCTGCCAACTGTCAGGAGGGAAGTTTCTGGCACCCGGTACATAGGCAGGAGGGACAAACAATGACCCTGTACGGAAATGCAAATCTCCGTGAATCCTCAGGAATTGCCTTTTCTGCCCTTTTTAACGTCTGGGTGAACTCCCCGTAGTATTTTTCACAGACGTTTGATTCTGTTTAGGAAGAGAAAGCTCCCTAGTGGGATGGGCAGATGGACCAGCCACCTTACGCAGAAATAAAGACGTGTATTTTACCTGTGTTACAAACACAGTTCAAATTGTTAAAAAGCCACAAAGGTTTTCACGTTGTCTGGAATATGTGCTGTTTTTCTGGGTTAGCGCTCATATGACACACCATTCACGGCAGCTTTGTGTCTACTTCTGTTCAGTGTCACTTTCAGGTTTTCCTCTATGTTTGGTTTACAAGCATCACAGGAAGAGTTGAAATGGACATATTTGTCCCAAAAATATTTATCTAAAAACCAAGCTGGAATTTAAACAAACCATCGAAACATTTACGTAAGTCTTTTTGTTAAACTCTAGTTTTGCAGACTGTAATATTTGGCTAATTTTGATTTGAAAGTGTTTTCGTAAGGGAGCTCATTTAAAGTTAGTAGATGACTATATTGACCTAGATCTATCAAAATGGTAACAGCTTGGTGTGTGTTATTTGTTCAAATTCTGGTGCATTAACATCTATTTCAATTACTTATTGAACAACTTTGAACTTCTGACAAACAGACCCTATAATAATTTCATCATTTGATATTTTGACCTTTTTTTGGTAGACTAGGAAACAAAAACTTCATGACTAAATAATACAAGAGGCAAAAGGAATAGTAACATTAATAACAAATTTTCTTCTGGGAACAGAAACCTGTTTAAAATCTTGTATACCTTAATTTTTTGGTGAAGAGAGTTAATTTCCATTTGCAAGTTCCTTGTAATTATCCCAGCTTCCACAGCTTTTTGGTTCTCATTTGCCAGCTGACGACTAAAGGTGCTATTGTTCAACTTCAGCTGCTTTTCTAGGCTCTTAAAAAAATTACATAATTTACCATATGGATGTACTCAGTATGACTGTTGAAAAATTTTGGTTCTTGCCAGATTTAAAGAATAAGCATGCTAATATAATGAAAAGTAAGCTTCTAATAATTATATTCTATTGTAAACAATGCATGAAATTATGATGAAGCATCTGAAAAATTACTTTAAAATTACTTTAAAATTAGGTTTCAAACCTAATCTACTAAACACAAAAAAAAGGCATTCAAACATAAAAAATAAGGCTGTACGTTACCTTTCTGATGAATTAATGAACGTAATAATCTGAGAAATGTTAAGACAACATTTCTATTCACACTCAGATCTATTACCTGTGGCAGGATAAGGAGGCTTAGTGTAGATGAAAACTAGGTAATTTATTGAGTACTTTATCGAGTACTTTATCATTAGAACCCAGTGCCATGCACTGAAATTATAATTACTAACACTGTAAGGTGGGCACCCAACCCTACATGCTTTTTATAGCTTCTCACCAGGAGTTCTGTAAATAGAAAGTTTTCAAAAGAGAGTCTGAATTCAGCTGTTCATATTTTGTTTAACAACTGTTTAACATCTTTGTCGGTG